CAAGATCCAACTGTTCATTCTCACTGATATCAGTGAGAATGAACTAGTATTATTCCTAACAATGAGGACAAAAATCAGAAATACAAATTAAAAGCATGAAAGTCTAAGGCCATTCAGTGTAAGGGTAAGTAACTCATGCCCTTAATAGACTCTAAAAATCTAACTAGCCCATCACGATGAAACTGACCTTCATAATGATAACCCTAAACTGTCAAAAAAATAAAGGATAAATTATGCACATTATAACACTTTGAAAAGACAGGGAAATATATATATATTCTTGGAGGGCTTATCAAAGAGTTACAAATGTTAAAAATTTAATCATGTTAAAAAGGTAAACCTCAATTTAAAAAATCATTTATATAAAACATTTCATTGTCTGACACTGCCAACTAAGTATTAATGTTACTCCTATAAATTCTGACCTCTGTCCTAACAGGTTTCAGCAAGATGTCTTCCTCAGCTTGTGTTGGAAAATTTGTTATTTTATGGCTTTAGACTTTGATCATTAATCCTTCTAGTATGTTAACAGTCCATGAGTCCTATCTTTTTCCAGTTGCATCGGGATATAACTGACATAAGGTGTACAAGCATGATGGTTTGACTTACATGTATTCTGAAATGATTACTGCAGTAAGTTTAGTTAGTATCTATCATCTCATACACATGCAATAAAAAGCAAAAGTAAAAAAAAAGTTTTCTCCTTGTCATGAGAACTCCCAGGAGTTACTCTTTCAACCACTTTCCTATGTATCACACAGCGGTGTTAACTATGGTTGTCATGTTGCACATTACACTCCTAGTACTTATTTATCTTCTAACTGGAAGTTTGTACCTTTTGACCACCCACTCCCCGCAACCCTGCCTCTGATAACTACAAATCTGATCTCTTTTTCTATGAGCTTGGTTTTTTGTTAGAGTCCACACAGAAGTAAGACCATATAGTATTTGCCTTTCCACGAGTCCCATTTTTTTTAAGATTTATTTATTTGAGAGAGAGAGAGAGAGAGTGCATGTGCGCACGTGACCACAGGGGAGTGGCAAAGGGAGAGGGAGAGAGAGAGAATCTCAAGCAGACTCCACACTGTGTGCAGAGCCCAATGCAGGGCTTGATCCCATGACCCTGAGATTGTGACCTGAGCTGAAACCAAGAGTTGGACAATTGAATGACTGTGCCACCCAGGCACCCCACCATGAGTCCTATTTTTTTTTTCCATGAATCCTATTTTTAAAATGGGTCCCCAGAAAGAAGCTTCTCACCTCCAATTATTTCAGTTCTGTGTGTTTCATGAAGTGCCCCTAACCACACAAAAATCCAAAGGTATCTGTTTTGGTGTGAGGGTATATTTTCTATGTGTTTTAGGATACTTTCTGGAATTTTATACCAACATACTGATCTGAAATATTGAGGCTAGTCTACAGTTAAGCTGAACTCACTACCTTCTAGATATTCCAGAATTCAATTTCCTATAATTGTATACTGGGTTCTTTTTCCTTAAATAAAATGTAAAAAAAATCTTAACCAGCTTCCACATAACCAATTCAGCAGATTAATCAATGCTCCCTGCTCCTCCTGTAGAACTCCATGACAGATGTTCACAGAAAGCTCTTCGCAAATCTCAAGAATGCTTGCACACTCCTACTCTCAGCAGCTAAGCTCAATGTTTGCTTAGTTTAAGTCTTTTGTGTTTCCAAACCAATTATACTCATTGCACTTGTTACTGTAATTACTTAATTTTATTAAATATTACTGGGAAGTAATAAGGTTTTCTGGAAACACCAGAAAGCTGTAGAAGTTTGTTTTTTAAAGATTTTATTTATTTATTTGAGAGAGACAGAGAGAGAGAGAGAGCAAGCGCACAAGTAGGGGGAGTGGCAGAGGGAGATGGAGAAGTGGGTTCCCTGCAGGGCTCCCTGTGGGGCTCAATCCCAGAACTCTGGTATCACGACCTGAACCAAAGGCAGACGCTTAACCGACTGAGCCACCCAGGCGCCCTGCTGCAGGAGAAGTTAACTACATGGGGACATTGGGACACTGGTCTTCCTTTTTGGCTTAGGTGAGAATGTAGCTTCAAAGACAAGTAAATTTGGTGAAAAATCAGAAGAGCCTGAAATGGAAGCATTAAGCACAGAGACTGTGTAAATTTTTTTTCTGAATGGTGATATAAATTGCAAATATAAAAGCATAAAATTTAGTCTCTTGGATCTGCCAACACCCTGAAATATGTGAGCCAGTACCACCTGCAGCTGCCAGATCCCATTAGAAACTGCAATGTCAAGGAAAGCACGATGGGATATCCTGCACCTGTTCCTGTTCTGATGGAAAGCTTGATTCTTTGAGTTTATGAGCCTTGGTTAAACATGGGGAGGGGGTGGTGGTGGTGGTGGTGGTGGTGGTGTGTGTGTGTGTTCCACTTGCAATAATGCAAATATTTATATCAATGAAAAATGAGTCTGAAAAGAGTTGCTTCAGTAAAAAAGGAAGGAGGAATACTTTATAGAGTTATTAAGGCACACTGCTAAAGAAAAAAGTTGCTTCTAATTAGGGTAAGACTGTAAAGAGTGCGAAAAATCACAAAGATCTTAAAGGATCCTACATTCAGACTGCTTCAGACCCGTCTTTACATTTTTTCTGGATTTAAAGAAAACAAACTGGAAAATGCAGATGATAAATTATGGACATACGTAGGCAAGAAAAATAGGTAATTTCAATCAGTGGCTCCACTTGAAAGAAAAGACCTTGGTTCTGGGACACCTGGGTGGCTTAGTTGGTTAAGCGTCTGCTTTGGCTCAGGTCATAATCTCGGGGTCCTGGGATCGAACCCCGCGTCGGGCTCTCTGCTCATCAGGAAGTCTGCTTCTCCTTTCTCACTCTCCCTCTGTGCATGCGCGCACGCTCTCACTCTCTCAAATAAATAAAATCTTAAAAAAACAAAGACCTTGGTTCTAAAATGGATGTGCATTTATTTAAGTTAATTAAAATGTCTGTTATTCAGGTATCTTTATTTTTTAAAAATTATTCTCCCTTTAACAGATTCTTTAAATTAATTGAACTACTGATAGTGGCCACATTGAGTAAGATGGGTTCTACTACACTTTAAGCTAAAACACTGAGAACTGCATCTGCTACTTTATTGTCCACTCACATAGATGTTCATGTCATTTACCTTAGTTTCCCCCACATGCTTAGATTTATATACTCTTTATACCCTCTTCCAGATAATTTCTAAAATGTTAAATAAGCCTACTTTTTATTGGATCCCACTGTTTTATAAATTTATCCTCTGGTTAGAACCTTTTGCTATGTCATTTGTTTCTAGCCTTTGAGCAGTTTCTTGTATATAAAAACCAAATATCTCAGTAATTAAATTGGCAAAGCCTGTGGAATGAAACCTTGTCAAAGGTGTTTACTGAGGTATAATTCATATACAATAAAATGCACTTGTTTAAACATACAGTCTGATGAGTTGTAACAAATTTATACACCCATGTCACTACCATCCTAATCAAGGTCTAAAATATTTCCAGCACTTTAGGAGATTCCCTCATGGAAACTGCAGTCAATTTGCAGTCAATTCCTTACTCCCTCTCAGCCCCAGGCAACCAATGATCTGCTTTCTGTTAGTATAGATATGTTCCTTTTCTAGAGTTTCATATCAAAGGAATCACACTATATGTACACTTTTTCCTTCACTTAGATTCATCCATGTTGTTGTACTTACTGGTAATTTGTTCCTTTTTATTTCTGAGTAGTATTCTATCGTATGGATACAATTTGTTTACCTAGTCACTTGACGAACACTTAGGTTGTTTCCAGTTTGGAACTATTATGAATAAAATTGTTATGAATATTCCCATACGGGTCTTTGGGTGAACATATGTTTTCTTTTCTTTGACTAAATACATAGAAGTGGAACTACCTCGTCATACGCTGAGTATACATTAAGAAGCTGCCAATTTTGTTTTCCAAAATGTATATATCATTTCACATTCCCATCAGCAATATAAGAGAGATCCATTTGCTTCACATCTCAAAGACTTTTTTAAAAAAAGTCATAAAGTAGTCATTTATGTATGTAATCAGTAATTATCAATCGTAGTTCTAAGAAGTTAGTATGTACCAAATGCTGTGTTATATACTTATCTCATGTTCTATTTTTTTCTCCACAAAACACTCTAATACATTAAAAACATTTAACTCTGGCACATACCCAACAGTTTATGTGCAGAGGTATTTTTTAATATTACCATCAACATTCTTGGAATGGAGTGAAATTTACTGGTTTTATGTCTTAGAGTTGTCTTGGAAACGTATTTTCATTTAAACAGATTTTCAGCTTTTCAAATATTAGTTTTAGCAAATTCCTGGAAAATCTGCACACATTTATACCTATTTGTAGCTTTTTCATTTTCCCCCCTATTCTTTATGAAGGCTTAATTTTTTTTTTTTTTTTTTTTTAAAGATTTTATTTATTTGACAGAGAGAGACACAGCGAGAGAGGGAACACAAGCAGGGGGAGTGGGAGAGGGAGAAGCAGGCTTCCCACTGAGCAGGGAGCCCGATGCGGGGCTCGATCCCAGGACCCTGGGATCATGACCTGAGCCGAAGGCAGACGCTTAACCAACTGAGCCAACCAGGCGCCCATGAAGGCTTAAGTTTTAATATTTCTTACTCCTTTATTGGGGGTAGGGGTGTATAAGAATAATTCTAAACATATCTATGAGGCCCTTTCTATTGTATTATCTGCCGAAATCATAAAAATAAAACCCTAAAAAATGCAGATGCATAAGGTCATTTCTCCCATAGGAATATTAAGCTCTGTCCCTTAACAGTTTCCTCCATTGTATTATGGAAAATTTAATACTTTTGAATATATAAATGATTTCTTGACATTTCATATGTAAGCTGTGGATATAAATTTTAATTTTTATGGAAATGTAAAATCACACAAGCATCCAAGTGTTTTATGATAAACTAAAAATAAGTAGAATCTGCTTACCTTAAAAAATTCCTTTTTCTCAACCATCTCATTACCATCTGCATCCAGCATTTTAAAAGCTACATGAAACCCAGTATGAGGTTCTGCAATTAAGTGAAAAGTGAATAGTTATTGAAATGTTGGTGAAATGCAAATTACTTATTCATCTATAGGTCTTCAAATTTGAAAAAACTTCTAGAAACTATTATATGAGTGCCTAAACAGAGAAAAAATGATCTTTTCTTATTATAATAATTTTCAAAGGCTGATATATTTTCACAGCTGTGCTGTTCTACTATTAAGTGCTCTGCTTTTCAAAGCAAAATTAATTTGAGAACTTACTTCTTTAACTCTACCAGGGGCTTTCCTATATTCTTATAGTAACTTGGCTATTTTCATACTGATTATTACTCTTTATTTCCCTCAGAGTAGGGTTGTTAAAAAATTTTTTATTTTGAAATAATTTTAGACCTAAGAAATGTTGTAAATATAGTATGGTGAGTTCTCAGATACTCTTCAGCCAGCTTTCTCTAATGTTAACATCTTCTATAACTATAGTATCATTGTCAAAACTGAAAATTAACACTGGTAATAGCATTTTAAACTGAACTACAGACTTTATTTGGATTTCAAGTTTTTCCACTAATGCTATTTTTTCTACTTTAGGATCAAATACAAGAAACCATGTTGCATTTAGTTGTTAGGTCTCCTTACTCTGCTCCAAGTTGTGAAAGTTTCTCACTCTTTCCTTGATTTTCATGACCAGTCTTAAGAGTACTGATTAGGAATTTTGAAGAATGTCTGATAAGGGTTTTTTAACATGTGAAGGCTAAGTTTGATTCTCTTCTGTTCAACAAGTCTTTTAAGGAGACAGAGTTATGGGGAGCCACAGTACAAAGGAAGTACAAGGGCTAATCTAATCCAACAGTATCATTTTGTTGATATAGAAACTAAGGTAGCATGAGAGACTATGGACTCTGAGAAACAAACTGAGGATTCTGGGGGTGGGGTGGGGGATGGGTTAGCCTGGTGATTGGTATTAAAGAGGGCACGTATTGAATGGAGCACTGGGTTTATATGCAAACAATGAATCATGGAACACTACATCAAAAACTAATGATTGACTGTATGGTGATTAACATAACATAATAAAATAAAAGTTAAAAAAAAAAAGAAACTAAGGTAGCAATAACGTTTTAATGATAAAGACATAAATACCTAACTTTCAAAACCTTGTTTGGTAAGAATAGAGAATTCCACATGATCACTGAGAAAAACTGTGGGGTACTTACTAGTGAGGATTGTAAGCAAGAAAAGATACTCAGTATACGAAATTAGTCCTGAAAGAGATAAAATAAAAACATCAGAAGGTAAGTTTTAGAAGGTTTAGAAGTAATCATATATAGATACTATATGGAAACTTCACCTAATTAAAAACACACACATTTTGGGGCACCTGGGTGGCTTGGTTGCTTAAGCATCTGACTCTTGATTTCTGCTCAGGTCATGATCTCAGGGTCGTGAGATCAATCCCTGCGTCTGGTGCTGGGCATGGAGACTGCTTAGGATTCTCTCTCTCTCCCTCTGCCCCTCCCCCCTCAAAAAAGGGGGGGGGATAAAAACACACACATTTTTACTTTAATTTACCTCTCTTTGGTACAGTGGAAAACTTCTATAATGGAGAGTTAAGTACAGTACTAACACTTAAAAAAGATACTATCTTTTCTCATCAGGTTACTATTACTAGTAAAAAAGGGGAATGGATGTTGGCTAGCAAATAATAGGTATCCACTACAGGTTTTATTTGCATGGCACTTCATGCAATTTCTATCTAAATTTCACTATTCATAACATCTCAAGTGAAGCAAATTTAAAAATTCAGTAGAGTAACAAAGATCTCAATATACAAAAGGTCAACCTATATTATTTAAAATGAGATTAATTAAATTTTTGCAGCAGTAACTTGATTTTCCTTTGGGAAACCATTCCTTCTCCATTCTCAAACATGTAGTTTTGGTAGGATGACCATCCTCACCTTTGAAGGTAGATGCTGATAGGCCTAAGCCAATCATCGTACTCTCACTGAATTGGTGCAGAGATGGGCAAAAGGCTGACCCAAGCTAATGGCTGCAGGGACTGGTTCAGGGATGGGCCTTGACCTAAGCTGGGTCACTCAGAGTGGAATTTCTGACAAGAATGCTGAATCATTCACTTTATTTTTTTTTCCTCCCCCATTCCCCTGGGCTTTGATGATGTGAGAATGTTTCACTTAGGAATGTGAGGCAATGGAGAGTGCCTGGAACTGTCAGACAGCCAGTGTTTAGGGCCTGAGAATGCAGCCAATCTTTAATTGGCAGGCCTGAAAGATGGATACTGGTGATGTCTGAGCACTGGATTAAATTGAACTTGAAGCTAGCTCTGTGTCTGGCTACTACTAGCTCTACATCTGTCCTTTCTTGCTCAAATAGATAGTGTCTGGGCTTATGTGCTTGCAATGAAAAGAACAGCAATAAATATAGAAACAGTGTCTTGTAAATCATGGCTTCCTGAGAAGCTAAAAATAATTTTCCTTCTGGATCACAAGTTTGATATAATAGCAAAATACACAATTAAAAAAAAACTTTATCATGGAAAACTTCAATCATACACAAAAGTAGAGAGAATATAATAAATAACTGTATTATATATATCAACTTCAGTAATTAACTCATGGCAGTTCTTGTTTTATCTATACCTCTTTTCACTCCCTTCCCCCCACTTCCCACTGAATTATTTTTTTAAAAGATTTTATTTATTTGAGAGAGAGGGGGAGAGAGTGCACATGCACAAGTGAGCAGAGGGGCAGAGGGAGACGGAGAAGCAGACTCCCTGCTGCGCACTGAGCCCAACTCAGGGCTCTATTTCAGGACCCTGTGATCATGACCTGAGCCGAAGTCAGACACTTGACAGACTGAGCCACCCAGGAGCCACCCCAACCCTCCCCACTGGATTATCTTAAGACAAATCTCAACATATTATTTCACAGGAGAAAATACAAGCTGTATCTCCAAAAAGACTGTCCCCTTCCCACAAATATATTTGCCACACCTAAAAAATTATCAATAATTCCTCAATATCATCAAACTCACATCACTTTTACAAATGTCCCTGTTTCAGAAAAAAATTTTTTCAAGTGTGCTCAAATCAGAATTCAAAAAAGGTCCCTGCATTACATTTGGTCAAAAGGTCTCAAGTCACTTTTTTTTTTATTGTGGCAAAATACACGTAACAAAAATTTTACCATTTTAACCATTTTTAAATGTACAGTGTAGTGCATGAAGTATTCATTGTTTTGCAACCATTATCAGAACTTTTTAATCATTACAAATTAAAACCCCTGCCTCCAGCCCCTGTAACCTCTCTTCTGTTTTCTGTTGCTATGAATTTGCCTACTCTACGGACCTCATATAAATGGAATCATACAGTATTTGTCCTTTTGTGTCTGGCTTATTTCACTTAGCATAATGTCTTCAAGGTTCATCCACATTGTAGCATGTGTCAGAATTCCATTCCTTTGTAAGGTTGAAAAATATTCCACTATATATATATATATACCACATTTTGTTTATCCATCTGTTGATGGACATCTGGGTTGTTTCCACCCAGCTAATGGCTATTGTGAGTAATTCTGCTACCAACATTGGTGTACAAGTATCTGTTTGAGTTTCTTTTAATTTTTTTGGGTATTTACCCAGGGTGGGATTGCTGGATTGTATGGTCATTTTATTCTTAATTTGAGGAACCCCCATACTTTTTTCAAAAGTGGTGGCACCATTTCACATTCCCACTAACAGTGCACAGAGGTTATGATTCCTCCACATCCTTGCCAACACTTGTTTTTTTTCTTGATAATAGTGGTATTAAGGGGTATCTCATTATGGTTTTGACCTGCATTTCCCTAATGGTTAGTGATGTCAGGCATATTTTCACATAGAAATTAGTCAACTGTGTATCTTCTTTGGAGAAAGGTCTATTCGAGTCTTTGCCCATTTTTTAATAAGTTTGGTTTTCTTGTTGTTGAGTTATAGGAGTTCTTTATATATACTGGATTTTAACCCCTTATATGATTCGCAAATATTTTCTCCTTTCCTGTGGGTTGCCTTTTCATTCTCTTCAGAGTGTACTTTGATTCACAAGTTTTAAATTTTTCTTTTGCTTTCTGGTCTTAAATCTTTTTTTTTTTTTTTTTTTAAGTAGGCTCCATGTCTAGTGTAGAGCCCAATGTGGGGCCTGAATTCATAACCCTGAGATCAAGACCTGGGCTGAGATCAAGAGTCAGATGCTTAACCAACTTACTTGTTAAAGATGCCTGGTCTTTTTTTAAAAGATCTTATTTATTTATTTGACAGAGAGAGACACAGCGAGAGAGGGAACACAAGCAGGGGGAGTGGGAGAGGAAGAAGCAGGCTTCCTGCGGAGCAGGGAGCCTCATGTGGGGCTCTATCCCAGGACCCTGGGATCATGACCTGAGCCGAAGGCAGACGCTTAACGACCTGAGCCACCCAGGCGCCCCGATGCCTGGTCATTTGACCTGCAAAGTTTCTTACAGTCTAGAAAATTTTGCTGACTGCACCTTCTTGGTGTCATTTCACATGTTCCTCTAACTTCCGTATTTTTTTTTCCTTTTAAAGATTTTATTTATTTATTTGACAGAGAGAGAGAGTCAGTGAAGAGAGAACACAAGCAGGGGGAGTGGGAGAAGGAGAAGCAGGCTTCCCACTGAGCAGGGAGCCCGACGCGGGGCTCGATCCCAGGACCCTGGGATCATGACCTGAGCCAAAGGCAGAAGCTAAACGACTGAGCCACCCAGGCGCCCCTAACTTCTATATTTTCTATAAACTGGTACTTAGATCCAGAGGTGTGTTGAGATTCAAGTTTGATTTTTGGTTAAGAATTTTTTCTTTTTTAAAAAGATTTTATTTATTTATTTGACAGAGACAGAAGAGAGAGCACAAGCAGGGGGAGCAGCAGGCAGAGAGAGAGGGAGAAGCAGATTCCCCACTGAGCCGGGAGCCCGACATGGGGCTTGATCCCAGGACCCCAGATGATGACCTGAGCTGAAGGCAGATGCTTAACCAGTGCCCCTTTGGCAAGAATTCTTATTTATTTATTTATTTTTTCACCGTATCATTATTTTTAATGTCCAGCATTTACAATACGAGGGCCAGAGCTTTCTCCCCAACTCAAGTTTATAAATTCTCAATTGTCTTGTGAGGCCAATAGGGATACTTCTTCTTGTCTAATTTGGTTTCTGCGAAGACTTCATTCAGGTCCTCAATGGTCATCTGATCAAATGGAATTATGTTCCTCATCTTCTCCAGCTCTTTTTCATATTCCTCAATCCTGGCCTTTGAGAGAGACAAAAACTCGGCACAACTTTTCACATCTTCTTTTTCTTCAGCATCCACCTGAACAGTATATTTATCCTCTGGCACAGGAACCTTCAGGGCATTAAACTTCTTCTCAAAGTCATCTACCAAACCAGCCTTCGCCACATTGGCCTTGTAGTAAGCCCAGTCGACAGCAAGTGGTTTCTCATGGATAGCAGCCAACCTGGAGGTAAGTGTCTCATTCCAGGATTTCAGGGAGTTAGCAATGGCCTTCTGGTTTCGAGGTATGATCTCCCCAAACTACCCAGTCAATGGTTTTTAGAGCAAGTTTTCGTGCAGCCATCTTGAGATCCTTCACCAATGCCAGCAGCCCAGAGTCCACAGCAGCAAGGAACGTAACTGAGTCCAAGAATTCTTAATAGATGGTGCTGTATACTACCAACAGGAGGCCAGAATAAAAATGTTTATTAAAAATGCTAAATACTATTGAGAAACAATGATAATAAAAGTTACAGATTTTGGAAATATGTGAAATCATTTCTAGACCTTAGATCATCAGAGATGTCTCAGAGGAAGTAATTCTAAAAATGGTCTTCTAACGTATGGAGGAAGTAATTCCAAAACCGGTCTTCAAAGTAATTCTAAAAATGGTCTTCAAACGTATGGAAAATTCCAAATGAAAAACTTAAAAGAGGTGTGGGATAGGGGCACCTGGGTGGCTCAGTTGTTAAGTGTCTGCCTTCGGCTCAGGTCATGATCTTACGGTCCTGGGATTGAACCCCGCATTGGGCTCCCTGCTTAGCAGGAAGCCTGCTTCTCCCTCTCCCACTCCCCCTGCTTGTGTTCCCTCTTTTGTTGTGTCTCTGTCAAATAAATAAATAAAATCTTTAAAAAAAAAAAAAAGAGGTGTGGGATAATAGATGAAGCTGAATATGAAAACTAACTATAAAAATATGAAAATTAAAAAGTAG